TACACACAATATTCAGAAAATATGTTAACATTTTTTGTAGCTCATGAATCTCTTCGATAGGTTCTCATTCGACGAGTGACTAAAGCTAAATATATATCAGGTATGAAATTAAAAATCAGAACATAAATAAAAAACACAAACTAATTAACCTGTGTATGTTGTGAAACATGTTCATCATATTTCTCCTGGTTTTTATAGCCACGGTCACAGGTATCACAATAATGAGAGAAAACCGGTTCTTTTTTCTTTTTGTTCTGCTAAAGAAAAAAAAACCCATTCATACTTTCAAGATAGCAGTTATAAAATTACAAGGTACCCCTATTCCTAACTGTGAAATACTTCCAAGAGTATTTTGTCGATAACCTCCTAAATCAAAATATGTTTCAAAAATTTTAAAGATAAGCTAAAACGTCATGAAATTAAAGTACAAATCATTCAGCTTCCAAATAAACGATACGTAATTTTTTCTGCCACCGTCTTTCTAGCAATTACTGCTACCGGACATTCAACCCGTTCAATGTCTAAGACATTCAACCCGTTTCGTCCCTGTGGACGTAGGTGTCATAGTTACGCTGGCACAGCTACCTGAGTGTTTCTCTGTGAAGCAGATGAAGGAATCGATTTACCTTAAACACATACCAGGCAGGCAGAGACTTATCAACAGCTAGGAGGACTGCTAGGGCCACATCCCCGAGTCTCTTCCCCATAAAATCAGTCATGTCACACATGTCACACACGTGCTGAGAGGGCAGCAGAGATCCCTCCCTCTCCCACTATACACAGGCAGATGATCTGGCTGGCAGCCCTTGGAAACATAATGAAGCTATCCAGACACTTCGGCATCACCATGATAAAAGTGTTTATGAAATCAAGCTGTTTCAAAGTCCAGCTTAAACATATCATTCCCTCGGCGGGGTCGGGGTTTAGAGACTGATCATTACGTATTTTCGCTCTTGCAAGAGTAGGAGTGGCAGGCAAGAGCATGCTGATCCCCAGCACAGCTCGGATACAAGCCCCATGCGACAGACGCAGTCCGTACCTTCTGCTTGTGATTTCCACCCGGAGAGCGTTTATAAAACCCCGGCGCTTGCTCGCCTTGCCATTCCTGGGGGAAACTGCCATTGCCGCCTTCAGCACAGCGTGTCCCCAAAAGACAAGAAGACAAGTCACGCACGCAGCCGGCGAAACGCCACTCCGCTTCCCGCCGGGCCAGCGCC